GGTGTCGCTATTGGTTCGATCAGCGAAAAATTGCTTCATCCCAATTCGATTTCTGGTCGCTGATAGAATTGATTCCATTCTTGGCCTAAACGCCTTACGAAAGTTGAACGAACCTGTGTCAACGTATTTCTGCAAAGCACCAATTGTTCATGCCCAGTGGTGAAGGCCAATCGCGAGTAGTCCCACGAACTTTGTTGGAACTATGTGCACACAACCCTCCAAATCGAGAGTTATTGGTCGCCGACAGTTACGCGCAATATCACATTGCTCCTGCTCGCACAATGCAGCAAAGAATTTGGTGAGAACGATGGGAACTGCTGTTTCATCGGCAAGCCAGAAGACGGTATCACAATTTAAAGAACTGCTGAAAAATGTCCTACCAAAGTGCGAGAGTGCCGTGCATCACAACGTCAAAGAAGGATCGGTGAGACCGCGTAAACCACGAAGATCGCGAACACCAGAGCGCTGTGTGACTTCGGCGAACGATTCGAATGATCAGCGACAAAGAATCTACCCAATATTCCCAAGCGACTCTACAATTTCGAACGATCAATTCACTGAACCTACATCCTCAAGTACAAGAATCAGAAAACAGGAATCCGGTGATCCTGAAGTGCCCAACAGAGAGATTACTACACTTGCCCTTGCACCTACACCTACCCTGGAGCGGCGCGTCACAGTTTTCGGACACATGCGATCAATCAAATTTGAATGCTGACGTCAATGGCACGTGTACGGCTTCCGACTACACGCCATAGGCGGATCGTGTCAGCCAATCCAAGACAGCGCAGACAGAAGCAAGATTATGCAAGCAGTATTGCAATCTGATTGGTGGAAGCCTATGTAACCAATGATCTTCTTTTGTACATATTATTTAATCGCCCTCATTTCTTTCAATAAACGAACTACGTTCTACTATTCCTGTGGGCTTTTCCTTGTGTCTCGTTCTCGTGGGACATTGAGAACTCGTGCCATTGCGGTCCAGTGCTTCTGTGATCCAGTCCGTGGTAGCTGATTATTGATTCGGGTTCTGTGATTCTTATTGCGTGGTTGGCGTTCCTAATTCCGTGTGTACTACGAATACTACAATCATTACACCTCAAATACTTCCAGGGGGTTTACAGACCAGACAACAGTAGACCACAGCCTCCCATCGACAACCATGAAAGAACTCTCATGCTTGACGTGATGATCTCTGCAGATGAAGTGCATCGGGTCTTAAGGGAGCTCATTCCAAATAAGGCAGCAGGACTAGATGACATTCATCCTGCTATCCTGAGACCACTGGCTGACAACTTGGCTGAGCCCCTT